TGACCGGTAGGTTCTTTTGCCCATCATTAAAAGATTTAGACAAAAACTATTCGAGACTTAGAAGAATGGAAAAATAAATCGAAAAATTTCGCGAATCGCGAAGCCCACCCGGGGGCCAGGGATGGAACAGTCGGACACTTATTGAGCGGGTCAGCGTGGCAACATGTATTTCCAATTCGGGAACTGGAGGAATTACGTTAGAAGTTGATGTCTCGAGTCAGGCTGTTCGATAAAATGGGGCTGGCGTGTGGGAATGGAAAACCGCGGGTGGGGCTGGGGTTTTCGACAGGGCACCCTCGAATCTTGGTTCAGATGTGGGTGGGGAGGCAATGAGAGGGGAGAGAGAGTGAGAGAGAGGTGGGTGCAGGAGACGGTGAGCGTTGAATTCCAGTGGCCACGGCGCTGTAGTCGGGCGCTGCGATCTACTATGGTACTGCCTTGTCTGCCGACCCCCCTGCCAGCCAGTCAGCCATCTCGGCACGCTAGCGACGTGTTGCACCCACTGACGAGCGATCAACAAGCAGGTGAAGCCAATCGACGAGCTCTCACGTCCCCGCGACTTCCACTGAAGGTGGTGGCATCCCCACCCCTGACAACTCTTTCTCAATGCACTTCTGCTCTTACCTACGTACTGCACTTGTACACAGAGGCACCCACCACAGCGTCCAGTGGGAGTAAAAGAGGTGGAAGCAGCAGCAGCGAAAGTAGCAGCAGCAGCCACCCTGCCGCATCGCCGCATTGCAACTGCCTCGTCCCCCCCCCTGCTCCTGCCTCTCTTGCTATCCTCGCCCGTGTGTCGAGCCCGGCCACTTCTGGGCGGTTTGTCCATGTCTCAAGTGTTCTTGTCGTTTCGCCCAGGTTGTAGTGTACGACCTATCGTCACCTCCCCCCTTCTTGCTCGCATCCTTCCTTCGCACACGCACACACACCCCGCCCTCTTCCTCCTCCAACCAACCCAACCTGCCAACCCTACCAACATTGGCCCCAAAACCAGACAATCACAAAGTTTACCGGCACGTCGCGAACCACGGGCCGCACACCTCAGAATCCCGCAGACAGCGCATCTCGCATCCATCCCAACCCACGCCCTCCCATCCTTGTTCCCTACCCTACGGCACACACCATCTTTCCATCCATCGCTAGCGTCCTGTCTCCGTCCCACCGACATTACATGCGCTGGGGTGGGGATACGCAAAGCCTCACTTCCCTCACTGGGACACGCCCATCGCTCAGCTCACCCCTCGCCTTTATTATACCCACACGTCAACCCCTCGTCGACCGCCTCCCTTCTCTCTTTTTCTTGGGGATCGTCTTCTTTTTGACTCGAAACCCCAAAACGTCCTCTGAGCTTCTCCGCCCTTGTTCCCTGACATTGGTTTCTCGAGACAAAGACGGAGAGAGACCCAGGCGGAACAAGAACAAAGACGAGATCAGGATCAGATCGATCGTGACTCGATTCAGCTTCTGACGTCGAGGCCGCTGCTGGAGCACCCCCCAATAGCTGCAATCAGCCAGACGAGATTGGGTCAAAAGCACA